TGGGCGGTAGGGACCAGGTTGACTACCACTGGTTTATATGATACTGGACTACATTATTTGGATTATCCCTTAACTGAAAGACGTTGAGGACTGACTGTCTTATCCGGGTATGTCTTGGACTCTTTGATGGCCTCTGATACTTCTATTTCCATGAAAGTAAAAGCCTATTTAAACTGCAGTGTAAGTAGTAGTGGTAGTAGTAGATGTGGCAGTGCCTGGAGACAGCAGAATAGAAGAGGAAGAACTGGAGAAGATAACAAAATACAAAGACCTACAAATAGAAATAGAACAACTATGGCAAAAGGAAGCAAGGGTAGTATCAGAGTTGGGTATTCAGCAGATTCTGACCAGTTCTGGAGGTTCTGACCAGTTCTGGAGAACCGGTAGCGGAAATTTTGAGTAGTTTGGTGAAATCCCTCAAAGTTCCATTTTATTAGAGATGGGAAAACTGGGAAAACCTAAATCTGAAAATTTCCAGGTTCTCCCAACCCAATTGAAAATCCAAACCCATGCACAGCACCCACATGTCCCTCACATGGTCCAGTCAGGCACCGTCCCAACTGGAGATGCCTCCCAGTCACACCACTCCAGGTGCAGGGCAAGATGTCCTTGACTTTCTGAGAAAGGAATGTTATTTAGATTATATATCTCCCATGCTGCATATATCATATTTTTCGGAGTATAAGACCCTAAAAGAGGGTGAAAATTTGGGTGCGTCTTATACACTGAATACAGTCCCATCCATTCCCCCACCCTCTGCCTCCCAGCAATTTACCTCCTTGCAGCTTTTAAAAATAAATGCTTGATCTGAAGAGGCCCAGTGCTTTTGTTTTTTTTTCAAACATACAAACGTATCTTCTTTTAAATAGCAGAGCATAACGTATACTTCCAGAAAACCACGTCAATTTTAATAGCATCTGTACAAGTATAGTCTGAAATGTAACACTACGAACAGTGTGTATTCTCTGTACTGTTTGCTGTTTATTGCAAGGAGACAAATTCCTGGGAGGCAGAGTCAGATAATTTTCCCTTGTTTTCCTCCCCAAAAGCTAAGTGTTCTCTTATACTTTGGAGCGTCTTATACTCCGAAAAATATGGTAATCCCCTCTCTCATTTTCCCACAGTAGAAATTGTGGTTCACCGACAAAAGGGCGAACGACAAAACCGTGCCCGACTAAACCGGTGTGACAAAACCGCGCGTTCTAAAGAGCTCCGAAGAATGAGCACTGAATCGTGCCAACAACAGCGCAGTGACAGAAGCGCGCTGTAAAACTAAACCTAACCCTAAACCTAAACCTAATCCTAAACGTAACGCTAATCCTAACCCTAAACGTAACACTAATCCTAACCCTAACCCTAAAGCTAACCCTAAACCTAACCCTAAACCTAACCCTAAACCTAACCCTAAACCTAACCCTAAACCTAAGCCTAAGCCTAAGCCTAAGCCTAACCCTAAACCTAACCCTAACCCTAAACCTAACCCTAAACCTAACCCTAAACCTAACCCTAAACCTAACCCTANGTTCAAGACCCTTCCCCAGTACCTCGGCTGGCTCTGCACAATTGGAGTCCAGGTTTGCCCGAAGCCGATCAACTTTATCCGCAAGAAATTGGACAAACTCCTCAGCCCTACCTTGTAAAGGATTGCCCGCATCCCTCCCCCTCCGGGGGGGGCGGGGTATCCTGAACAAGGCGGCTGGGTGCGACTCAGCGGATGCAATCAGAGCGGCAATGTGTGTTTTTCTTCCCCTGCCACGCCCACCAAGCCACGCCCACAGAACTAGTAGTAAAAAAAATTGAATTTCACTACTGGGATGGAGGGATGGATTCCTGCAGCCTCCTGAAGGATTGCCCCTCCTTGAAGTTTGAACAGAGGAAAACTGAAATTATTTGGCACGTGGCAGGAACATTTGAGAACAAAAGGGCTACCAGCTGGGAGGATTTCAGCTCCGCACAGAGCTGAAACCCTCTGACAGGCAGCTCTTTCTCTCTTAAAAAGAGCTGCTGTCTGGAGGCAGCTCTTTTGCTTTGTCCATTTGACAATCTGGATGATGACTTAACAACCACAATTGGTAATGCTGGGATTGTGGTTGTTGAGCAAAGGAGTCATGTAGGCATCTCCCTTAATTACTGTTTTGCCCAACAACTGAGATTTCTAACCCAATTGCAGCCATTAAGCAAGTAGCATCTGCAGATGTTTTTTTCCTAGTTTTGTGATATGAGTTATATAATGACAATACGCTGTAAGCCCAGGAGGATCCTTTGAGTATATTGACCAGTTTGGAAAGAAATAGGGAATAAACACACTTTATTTTTCAGAAGGGGATAATAACCATGGTAGTGCAACCGTCATGGTGCAGTGGTTAGAAGGCAATATTGCAGGCCAATTCTTCTGACTGCTGATTACCAGCAATTCGGCAGTTCAAATCAGATTGTTGGGGGCAATATGCTGACTCTGTAAACTGCTTAGAGAGGGCTGTAGAGCACTGTGAAGCAGTATATAGGTCTGTGCTATTGCTCTTCTATTTGCTATGCTCTATCGTGCATAGAGCCTGGTATTGGTAGTACTGTCCTTATATTAATATATTTCATTCACAACCTTCATTTGATTACTTCCTAGCTCTAATCTGTCTTAATTTTGCCCTGATTTCTTCTTTCTGCCCACCTACTGCTTTATGCCTTGCTTAAAGAAGAGTTTTGGTTGAACCTAAACAGTGATGAAATACATTTTTTTAAACTAATGGTTCTTTGAGCATGGCAGGGGAAGGATCGGAAAATCTCCGTTCCCATCCCACTCTGGGGCCAGCCAGAGGTGGTATTTGCCATTTCTCCGAACTACTCAAAATTTCTGCTACTGGTACTCCAGAACCTGTCAGAACCTGCTAAATGTGTCTGCTTTTTGAAGTAAATAGGATTGCATTGTTTTTCTCCAATGCTGATTCAGTCAGCAAAAAGTGGACTTCTTGGAAGAGTTCCTTTTGATCTTTTCCTTTGGAATTTACTTGGAAGATAGAAACGCAGGGAGCCGTGTTTCACTACTCCTGAGTTTGTCTGCAGTTTGGTATACCTGGCCTAATTTGGCCATTCAAATGAAATTAAACTGCTTATAAATACCAATATCTGTCTTTCTGTATTCTTTTTGGTGCCTGAAAAAAAAAACCACTCATGGCTACTGGCGTCATCCAAAAGATAGCGGTGGAAGAGAGGAAAATGAGACCATTGTGAGATGCCACCAGTTACACCATCAGCATTGTCCTCCATGATGGACAGTGATGGACTTGGTGGATTCCATACCACTTTCTTTGTTCTGCTGAGCAATGAGGAACAGGCTGCTTTCTGTGTTGTTTCCCTCTGGAGCCATTCTTGCTCTAATTGTATGCTAGGTGGCTGCTCTTCGTCTCCTGAGCGCCTCCAGGAAATGCAGAGTACTATGCTCAACATGAGTGTCATGCCATAGCTTCAGAGTTTATGGAATAATTGAAAAATTCAATGAATAATTCTGTTCCCTTGGTTCATCTTTTCCCTGACTTTTTGTTATTAGTGTCCACCGCCACCTCCTGCAATGACCCTGGGATCCCACAGAACGGAAGCCGGAGTGGAGACAGCAAGGAAGCAGGAGACAACATCATTTTCCAATGTGATCCAGGATACACCTTGCAGGGAGATGCTAAGATCAGCTGTGTGCAGATCGAGAACAGGTTCTTTTGGCAGCCTGATCCACCCAGTTGCATAGGTACAGAAGCTGCCAGTGTGGGGCTGGTACAGACCCATGTTTGCAAATCAGAGCAAATGAGACTGTAATCTGATCAGGGCTTTCCTTCTCAGGGTTCAGATATTGAATTAGTTATGCTGGGGCACTTTACCCTTTTCCCTCTCCTGTGTTAAGAGTCGATGTTGAGCAAAAGGTACTTTCAGAGTGATAAAGGAGACATCTAAGCAACTTCTAGGATGGGATTCAAAGTAGCCCTTCGGTGTGGTTCCCAATCAAGGAAAATAGAGTGAAATATATTCCTTTCTTAAACTAAGCTAAGAATATGTTTTGTGTCCCACTCCAATGCTGTTTCTCTTCTTTTAGTGTAGGGGTCTCCAAATTTGACAACTTTAAGACTTCTGGACTTCAACTCAAAGCCTTTGGCATGGCTGGCTAAGAAATTCTGGAAGCTGAAATCCAGGCCTTAAAGTTGCCAAATTTGGGTACCTCTGTTTTAGTGGAAGGCAGTCTTCAGCTTCTTCATTTTAAGTAAGCAACTGTTCAGACCCAGGCTTCCTTAAAAAGCAAGAAGCAGAGTCTTAGTCCTGGCAAAATCCCTTTTATTTACAAGACTGTGAATTCCTTTTATTCATAGTCAGCAAGGCTTAGTAAAAAGTCTTTCAGAGGAATATTTATTAACACAAACCTTATCTCATTTGAAGCCCTGCCAGATAACTAGTTTCCAAATGCAGAGCAAGGCAAAACTTGGCACAGAGTCTCTTATAGTCACAAACAGAACTTTCCACTCTTGA